CATTTTTGACTGTCCGAGTGTATTGGCTCGAAAGTGCTTCACGAGAGCGCCACGTCATTGGTCATAGATTGTTGCTTCTAAACACACGCAACCTTTGGCCGAGTCGACACACTTCAACCTCATAAGTCGCGAGTCTAGAAGCCCAAAAAGGTATGATCTCACGCTCTCAGCTGTGCCCTACCCGTAACAGCGTCTTACAGGAGTATTACGCAAATGAACACTGCAAAAGATCGCACCACGACCGCAAGATGGCGTCCGAATAGCCTACAGAGTTCCAGACGCTTCTTGTTATCCGGAAGAATAAGAAAGAATCCAGCCACGCAGTCTCCTGGCTTGTGATTGGAGGAGCCACTTCTGCCACGACACCACGATGCGCAGGTACCTCGCCGGTCGCCGCCCATGGCGGTCGCTTCTGGCGCTGCCAGGCCGCGTCGCCGGCGTTGGCCCTCGGCGCACCTCGTCGCTCAGCCCGGACCAACGCGGCAACCTCGACATTTTGCGCACGCTGGCTGAGAGCCTCCAGACGATGCCAAAGTCCTTGAACAAGTGGACATCGGCCGACTGGTTCATGCGGCTGACAATGCTCTCGACGCACAACTCGACGCGCCACCATGTGCGCCGCAGCCAGCTGCATCGACCGGACGCCGTCCGCCTCTCGCTGGCCGAGGCAGCGATCGACGCGCCGTTTCTGCACGAGCTGCCATACTACATTCGCATCTGCGACGCCTCGTATGCGTTCACGACCAAAGGCTTTCTGCGCGAGAGCAAGCTGTCGATAGCGCCCGACGACATTCTCCAGCAGGAGCCCGGCGGTGTCTTTGCGCCCAAGTACTACTTGTACGTCGATCACGGCCGACACGAAGTCGTGCTCGTCATCCGCGGCAGCGCCAGCATCCAAGACTTTTGCACCGACATGTGCATGGACCACGAGCCCTTCCAGACCGGCTACGGTACGCTCGCTTTATATCTTGGCGATGCTTAGGTGTCTTGATCACAGGCCACCGCGGAATCGTTCACGCCGCGCATTGGCTCGACTGGAAGCTACGTGACGACATGATCAACATTGCTGCCGACTACCCAACCTACAGCGTACACGTCATGGGCCATAGCCTGGGTGCCGGCGCCGCAGCGCTCGTCTCGACGCTGTGGGCGACGGCGCTGCCTCGACTGCGCTGCCTTGCGTTCGCCCCACCGGCGTGCTTGACACTGGAGCTGGCCCAAGCGTGCGAAGGCCGCGTTGTCAGCGTAGTCTGCGGCGACGACTGCGTGCCACGGCTCAACAGCCACAACCTCGTGCGTCTCCAAGAAGAGGTAGAGTTGCCTGCGGTTGCAAGTGCGATATTGACACGTCTTCCATAGGTAGTAGCATTTGACATTTCGGCGGCGCTGAAGAGCATGATGGCCGACGAGATCGAAGCGCAAAAGTCGGTCGCGTCCGAGAGCTTCAAGCAGCTCCGCGAGGCCATGGCGATCGTCGACGAAATGAAAGAGGTACGTTTTACGAGGCTAATTCTTACCACGCGGCTCAGAGACGCACGCAGACAGCGTCGAGCATGGTACAAGCCACGAGCACTAACGACAAGTCGGCCATCATCGACAAGCTCTCGACGCAGTGGGTCAAGCTCGCCAAGCCGGCGCTGCCGACCGTCGAAGCCGATGTTGGACTCTTCCTCCGCGAAAACCGCGACAGTAGACGCCTTTCAAAGTACGCGAGCTAATGAACCATGATGTAGAGCTAACACAGCTCTGGACGACGGTCGAAGCGCAGGTGCAGCGCACCGAAGAGCTCCTCCGCCTCGACAAGCCCCAACTGCAAGCCCTCGCGCAGCTCAAAGCCAAACTCAACACCCAGGACATGGTGCTTTTGCGTCAAAAACTCGATTTTTTGGCGGTCAAGCCCGACAACGCAGCAACCAAAGGTAGTCGACAGGTCCTTTGCCACCGCCGTAGGAATACGCTGCTGCGTAGAGATCATGGCCAAGTGGAGCCGGCTCGACGTCAAGGTCATGGTGATGGAAGGCCTCCTCAAGTTTTTGCACGACCCAGAGAGGAAGCGGCAGCTCATTGCGCAGCTGGAGCTCCTACTTCGAGAGCTGGCGCGCGTCCGGTCGAGCAAAAATACCGGCCGTACACTGCCGCGCCTCGACTCAATTGCTGAACCATCGATGATGTAGTCAACGCGATGCTGGAGCCCTTGTCCAACCAAGTGTACGAGCTCTTGGTCAAGATCAAGTCTACGCTGCAACACGACAACTTGGCCGTGCCCCTCACAGCAAGGTAAACCACACCGCTCGTTTCCTCCAATGTATATAGCGTCATGTAGCTTTACATGGGACGCGCGGCCAAAGCAGCCGGCACCAGAGGCCGCGCCGTACGATCGAACTTGAACTTACGATGCTACTACTCTACTTGTAGGGAAAAACTGCTGCCCTTTCTCGAGCGAAAAGTGTTTGATATCGTGGACGGGTTTTGCGACGAGCTTCGCAAGGAGACAACGTCCATTCTGGAGCTGAGCCAAGCAGGGTATACATGCGTGTCGCATAGTCTCTCGCGTATAAAGTTGATATTGTAGGGACGGTGGTCTGGAGGCCCTACTTCAAATGGATCCTGCGCTCCAGACGGCACCGCTGTACCCCCCTGGGAAAGTCTACGTCCTTGAAAAAGTTAGCTCTTTTTTAGCCATTGAGGTGCTCATTGATTATGGCTAGGATCCGAGTGGGGCAACGCCAACTGTGTTGTCTGTGACGGCGGTGGACACGTACTTTAACCGGATCAACGTCTCGAACGACATGCTCCTCGATCACCTCTGCACGACGTACGAAGCATCCATCCTCTCGCTCCTTCCTCCGCCTCCCGCAAAAGACATGTAGCATTTTTTTAAGTACGAAATCGTACCTCGAAACAACGAATTCCTACCTGAAACAACGAATTCCTACCTAAAACAACGAATTCGTTCATGTGGTACGAATTAGCGCAACTAAACTTCTGTGCCGGTTTCACGGGCGGTTGTTGCCCTTCTACGCAGCTGTTGCGAGGCGTCGCGGCGGGCACATGGGACAGATCGCGTCGGCGCAAGGCGCGCCCGAGGCGCCGCGGCCCACCTCCTGGGATGACGTCGATGAGCTCCAGACGCAGCCCATCGACATTCCTCATTTTCTCTGGCGGGCCGAGGTCGAGGCAGGGTACTGGAAGCACCTCGAGGCGGCGCAGATCCAGCCAATTCGGTTCTTGGGCCAGCGCCTCACAGTCAAGCAGATTCGGTACTGTCGCTTCCCATATATATGCAGCCCATCGTCAGTATCAATGCAATAGCGGCAGCGCCGATACGACCAAGCCGCCGCTTCCCCCACTCGCACCCGACATGGTACATCTCGACACATGTTGAAACAACACTACTATGGACTCTGTAGTCGCCCGGCGCTGCGTTTCTCGCGATGCCGCAGCTCATGGATGAACACTGGATCTACCCGTTGTGTGCGCTCATCACCAACTCTGATGCGCGGACCGCCGAGATGGCCATGGCGGCGCTCAGCAGCATCATCGACTCGGGCAAGCGACAAGAGATGGCCGTTGACGCACGTGCGATTCCGAGCCTCTTGTCGCACCTGCCGCCTCTCAAAGCCAATTGGAGCGCGGCGCAGTTTGCGGTTCACGCGCCGCTGCAGCGCACGGCGTTCGACGTGCTCACTGCACTCTGCCACGACAACCGTACGTGTTGTAGTCATGCAAATAGGTAGGAATCTACGTTATTAGGGGCTGTGGCGCTCAACCTCATCGAGCTCCAAGTCGTCGAGCGAATCGTAGACGTGTGCAGTGCACCGACACCGACACTCGTACTAGAAGAGCGCAAGGCGAGTGCACTGCAGACGCTCTTGGAGCTGCTCAAGCAAGGTCGGACAAAAAAACATCATTCTCTCTAGAAAGTGCAATGTGAGATCTAGATGAGCTCAAGCGCGAGCTCGCGAGTACGCCCGTTGTCGGCATGCTTGTCGTGCTGGTCTCCAATACGCACGCGTCGATTGCATTTCACGCGCTCGCGAGCCTCTCGGAGCTCTTCCTTTGCGGTACACTCCCTTATTATATGCCATCGCCTCAGCGTGTACGCAGCACCGGCGCGGGAGGCCGCGATCGCCGCCGGCGTCATTCCGCTGCTACTGACGTGCCTTGTCTCGGCGACGCTGCCGCACTCGAACAAGACGCTGATTCTACAAGCCACGTACGCGCTCTCGATTCTAGCCACACACGTGGCCGACGCGTTTCCGCTCGACGATTCGGTCACGGCGATCTGCCACGTCATGGAGATCCTACGCGGCGCCCTCAAGCGGTCTCGGCTCGCGAGTCTTGTGTGCATGTTCATCACGGGTCTGAGCTGGCGCGTCCCGGCTTGCCACCGTTTCCAAGTCGCCTTGCGCGACCGGCCGAGCCCCAACTTGTTCGCGATTCTCGCAAGTTTGCTCATCGGCGGCTCCAACGACGTGATTTGTGCCGCGTCCATTGCTGTCGCCGCGCTTAGTCGCCAGTCCCCCGAGAGCGTCCACTCGTTTGTCAAGCTCGATGTGCATGTGACGCTGACAAAGCTCCTCGCGGCCAAAGATACGCGCGTCGCGACGTCCTCGGCCATGGCGCTGCATCGGTTTTTGCAGCCGTACCAGCTCGAGCTCGTACTTGGCGGCCGAATACGACCAGCGCCATGGCAAACCGAGATGACGCAGCTCATGCATTCGATGGGGGCTATGGACGTGCTCTTGACGACGATCCTTGCACCACCCACGTCAACTCAACCTGCGGACAAGCCCCCCGCATCAGCGTACGAGATCCAGTCGACGCTAGCGCTCTTTGGGTATGCGCAAAACAAGGCGGTGTGGGGCGCCACAGCGACCGTCCATCGCATGCTGCTGTACATGCATGCGGCCGACAACGAGCTACTTCTCGAGCTCCTCTTGCACGTGCAACTGTGTACAGCACCCGACCTCACCGCCTCGCCGCGACCGTTCTGCGATCTCTTTGTGAGTCATGGCGGCACCGAGATTGTACTCCCGCTACTCACGCCAAAGACCGCGCCCAAGTACCTCGTCGCGGGGCTTGCGATTTGGCTGCACTTGGCACTGGCCTACTATCGCGACGCATCCCCGCTGGTACCAGCGCACATTGAGACGATGCTGCAAGCGAGTTTGGGGCTCTGCGCCCACGTCCAAGACGTCTTTGTGCTCGCAGCAACGATCCGCGTCCTCGAAGTGCTCTCGGAGCCAAAGTGCTGCCTCGCCGAGACAACGTTGGCGACGATCTTGCGCGGCGACGCGCACCGCGTCACAAACTTACTGTTTGTGCACAAGGAAGAGATTCAATACAAGGCCGGGCTCGTCGTCGGGCGGCTCGTTCGCGCCGGCAACGGCGTGTACCTTCCACTCCAGAGCGCGTGTGCGCAGCTGCTCGTGCTGCTCGAGTCGCCGTCGCACGATGTCGCGTTTGCCGCCAGCCATGCGTGGGGCAATTTGCTCGTACTGCCAAGTCCGCTTGTCTGCTTTGGCGGCCAAGCCCCGTCGGCGGTGGCCAGTGTCTTGCGCCTCTTTTCAGTGCAAACGCAGCCCAAGCACCTCCGGGATGCAAGTCGAACGCTCTATCGCGCTTCGAAGTCCCATGAGGTCCAAGGCGAGCTGCTCCGGTCCGGCATGTCGATCCTCGAAGGGCTCGTCCGGCACGCCCTCGACGTGGTCGGGCACCACACGATGCTGACGCTCACCGAGATGGGCAAAACTCCGATGTACCGGCCGTCCGTGCTCTCGCCATCGGTGCTTTTGCTCTTCCAAGACCTCTTTCTCTCGTTGCCAGAGACTCCCGTGGTGCCACCGGCCCGGCTGCTCCAAAACAAACTCGACGCACTGTACTTTGTAGCGCACGTGTGCGTCGACGCCGCGTCACAGCATACCGTCCTAGTCGCGGGTCTCGTCGACCATACGATGGCGCTGGTCCTGACGCCGTCGCCCGATGAGGTATCAGCGCTCAAGCTCGCTGCGCTCACGGCACTTGCGACGCTCTGCAGCGCGGACGACGCGACGCGCGACCACATTCTCATCGAGCCGATTGTCGCAGCCGTGCTGAGGCTTCTGGATCCACCCGAGATGGCGCACCTGGAGCTCCTCACGCAGTGCCTCACGATCGTACTGCACCTGTTGGACGCACCGCGGGCGCAGCTGCTCATTGGCAAGAGTCCGCTCGTTGGCAACATTGTGCAGACGCTGCAAGTCCTCGACAACAACGTGCGGTCGCTGGCCTGCCAAGTCCTTGCCAAGCTCGCGTTCCGCTGCGACGGTGTGAAAGCCGACATGTCGCGCATGGACGCACTCAACATTTTGCTCAACCTCGTCTGCCTCGAGTCGCTCGGATCACGTGTGCAGCGCGATGCATTGCATGCGCTCGGGACGCTCGTGGGTACGGCGTCGCCGGCGTCCAAGACCAACAAGCAGGAGCTGTTTGACCTCCCACAGTCGATCCAGCTCACGAAAATGCTGTCGCGGCCCGATGGCGCCCATGCGGCAGCGCTCGAGACAGCGGCGCTCGTCCTCGCGGTCTTGGCCAACGCCACGTACCATTCGCCGCGCAACCAGCGGCTTCTGCAGACGCTTGAAATGCCGGTCGTGGCGCTCACCGACGTCTTCTTTGACGCCCCGTCGTCGTTGACGGAGCCCATCGCGGTACAAGCGCTTCGCGTGCTGGCCAATTTGACGTCGCACGCCGAAAATCGGCGCAACATGGCGCGGGACCCGGCCCTCTTTCGAGCCTTGCTTCGCGCGCTGCAGTCGGACGTCGCGCAATTGCATCGATTCAGCGCGTTGGCGATGGCCCATCTCGCGACGGGCAGCGACGACCACCGCATCCTCATGGGCTCTTTTGGCGGCCTTTTGCCCGCGCTGGCCGAACGGTACCGTGTTGTTTGCATTTGAGTGTTGATTTTTTTCATTTCTCAAATTTTCAGATTTTGCTTCATTTTTCGTTGCACGTAACAATCTAATGCTGTGCTAGACTCAACGCCAAGCACCCGCTCGTGCTCGAAAATGTGTGTTTTGCCATCACAAAACTCGGCGCGCACGGCGGCAACCAGATCATTTTTGGCGCCAACTTGGTCTTTGAACGGCTGTTGCCGCTCGCGGTGCACAATGACGTGGCAGTCCAGAAGATGGCCGTGAACGCGATCGCGGTTTTGATCGACGGCAACGAGAAGAACAAAGTGTCGCTGGTCGAATGCAACGCGATTCCGATCCTCTGCGGCCTCGTCAACCAGCTCGACAGCGTCCACTCGCGCGTACTCGAGTGTGCGATGCAAACGCTCTCGGGGCTCGTGGCCGCGCAGGTGATTGAAGTGAGCAAGTACCTCGACCCGCGCGTGGTGATTCGGCTCTTGAGCAGCGTCAACGCCAAGCTCCAGCGCACGTCCTTGACACTGCTTGCGTCTTTGACCAAAGAGTCGTTCAACAAGGTGCGGTACGGCGAGAAGGACTGCATGGAGGCTGTCGTGCAGTGCCTCAACAGCCACCTCAGTACGGGCACCAGCGACCGCGTCGAGAATGACGCAACGTCGCTCTTGGACTCGGAAGCCGACTTGATGTTGGTCGAACTCGCGGCGACGTCACTCGCCAACCTCTCGTTCGAACCACTCAACACGACGGCCATCATTGAAGCCAACGGCACAGTCAGCTGCGTCCAGCGTCTCGGCGAGCTCATTGACGCAGCGCTCGTCCTGTCGTTCGAGTCGTCGCCGCAAAAGCCCAACAAGCGCCAAAGCCCCAAGAAACCGGCCACGCAGCACGGCAGTAGCAGCAACAACAACAACCATGACGACGACGAACAGAGCCGCGCGTATGTGGCAGACGAGACGCCGACCAAAGTCGCGATCCCGCTTCTCATCACGCGCCCGATGCAGTGTGCCCACATCCTCGAGCAATGCGCGCTCATACTCAACAACTGCGCGCACGCCATCTTGGCGGGCCGGTACGTCACCGAAGACCTTGTCGGTACCGTCACCATGATGCTCGGCCACGCGAGCGACCTCGTCAAGAAGTGCGCGTGCTTTACACTGACGATTTGGTGCTCGAAGGTCGAGCTGCACCAAGGCTACGTCATGAACCAGCCAGGCGTGCTCACGACGCTGATTGGGCTGCTCAACTCGTCGAACGCGGGGATCCTCGAGGCCGCGCTCTGGGTGCTCACCAAGCTCTCGGGCTACCGCGACAACCACATTCAGATGGCCAACTGCGACATTGTGCGCATTTTAGAAGCACTTATCTTTCGCTTCCACACGTCGATTGGCTCGGGTACGCGCCCATGTCTCATAGTCCTCGATGGAACGAGGCTGCATCGTAGGTGTTTTGGACCGAGCCATCCGGCTTCTTGGCAACCTCGCACTCCACGACCCGATTCGAGGGCTCGTCAAGTGCGAGGGGCTTGTCGCGGGTCCGCTGCACAGCATTTTGGAGCACCAGCTGCAGCCGCATCCGGCGCCTGTGATTGAGGCGGGACCGATTCTCCACTGCAAGAACATTGCGCGGCTTATGGGCATCCTCCTCGGCGAAGACGCGCTCAAGCTCTTCTTCCCCAAGAAGACGCTCGGCCTCCTCAAGCGCATTTACATTGCCGACTCGACGTTGGTCAAGGTCCGGCGCAACATCATCCTCGTCTTCTTCCTTCTCTCGGGGATTGAAGAGCACCGATTTGGGATCGCGTCTGGCGAGAAGGACTCGGTCGTGCCCAAGCTCGTGCAAGCGCTGGCCCTCGACGAGCACGAGCTCTTTGTGCGGGCCAATATTTTAGCTATGTTTTCGCTCTGGAGCCAGCACGAAGGTCTCTGCCACCTGCTCTACCTCTGCGAGATTGCTGAGACGCTGTTGAAATACATGGTGGTCACCGAGTTTGAAGCCGATCACTACGCCGCCATCATCGTCCATCATCTCTCGAGCTTGAAGGAGCAAGTGCGCAAGCGCCTCGCCATGGAAGGCACGACCGAGCTTGCGCTCTCGCTGCTCAAGCAATGCCTTGAGACACCGATCCCGAACGACCCGTTCGCCTTCAGCTGCGCGGGCATCCTTGCGAATCTCACGGTTCACGACGATGCCAAGGCGATCGTGGTGCATGTCGGCGGCCTCCCGACGCTCCTGACGTACCTCGGGCTCAAGATCGACGATGTTGTCCACGGTGGCCCCAATGCGATCCTGGATAGCCTTGCCAAAGTCCTCGCCAACCTCTCGTTCGACGACGCGTGCAAGGTTGAGATGCTGCGACTGCACACGATTCCGCTTGTGCTCCAGGTGCTACAGCGGCGCCTGGCCAACTTTGTGGGCGTGGAAAACTACGTCCTGTGCCTTGGCAACCTCTCGACTGTCCATGGCGCCATCGGGCAGCTCGAAGTCGCCAGTGCGATACCAACGTTGTTTTCGCATTTGGAAGCGCACCAAACTAGCTCGCCCTGGGTGGCCAAGTGCGTTATCTGGACCATCTCCAACATGACGATGCACTCGACCAAGAGCAAGTACCAAGTGCTCGAGTATCCCACCGGCCTTCTCCTCGTGCTCTCACTGCTCAACACCGAGACGAGCAAGCAGACGGACACGATCATCGAGTGTACGATGACGTGCCTGAGCTGCCTCGCGACCGAGCCCCCGATTGCGGCCGGCCTCGCAGCGTGCGCCACGATTCCCTTGATCTTGCGCTACCTCGAGCCCGACGTGCGCCAGAGTCTCCAGCGCAAGGCGGTCAAGACCATCAACTCGCTCGCAACATTTGGGTTTGCCGACTATATGGAGGACCTCTCGCACACGCACACGCGGCTCCTCTCGATCGCGTCCGAGGGTCACCAGAGCATTGCGCCCACCGCGATGGCGGCGCTGCGTCGCATTTCGCATCTGCGCAACGAGTCGCCCCAAGTACTCTGCGAACATGTCAACGGCATTGACGCGCTGCTCCAGCTACTCCAAAGCGAATCGACGAGCACGGTGCTCGACGCGCTCCACTTGCTGCATCATATTGCAGTCGAGACCGCGCCGATTCTGAGGAACGCGCAGTACTTTGCGACCCGGCAATCGTGTACGCTGGCGACTACGCTCCTCGGCGACGACTGCAGCACCGAGATGGGCGACGCTGTCGTGCGCTTTGCAGCCTTCTTAATTCAAAACTCGCAGTTTGACACGGGCATGGCGGCAAGCGACGAAGACTGGCCGCTTGTGCTCACCCGCCTGAGTCGATGGTGGGACGGCCTCGATGCGTTCGAGACGCACGAGCTGACGCCAAGTCTGCTCGCTGCCGTCGACAGCTTTATGCGGGACAAGACGTTCATTGGCAAGCACTATGGCCCGACGATTCTGTCGGCCTCGAGTCTCCAACGAATCGCCAGCAGCCTCCTCAAGCTCCTCAAGGGGCACATCGACCCCGTACTGCATGGCACGCGGGCGTTGGTGCACTTGGCATGCGCGTCACTGCACTATCAAAAAACGCTCTTTGAGGTAGGCTTTGCGAGACAGCTCTCGCATGTGCTCCTCGCGGCTCCTGAGACCACGTGTCCGGACGTCTTGTGGCTCGTCTTGCTACAAGGTATTTTGCTCTACACCCACGACATAGTCGCCCGGGAGATGTACATGGAGATATCGACGGCAGATGCGCTCTTGCGGCTCCTTTTTCATTCGAACCTCGTCGTCGCTGCCAGAGCGTTGGAGATTGTACATCTGCTGGTCGCGCAGCCGCTCGGTCAGCGTGCATTTCGGGCGGCCGAGGCCATTATGCACCTCACGACCAAACTCCGCAGTGAAGAGGATACGACGAACCAAGTCCGGCTTGTGCAGAGCCTCGTGCTGCTCTGGGACGAGGCCGAGACGACCGTGCGTGCATTTGTTACCGCCGAGACAGTGCCGCTGCTCATGGGGCCGTGTCTCGTACGTCACTCGACCGACACGTTGATCTTGCTGCACTGTCTCTCGCTCTCAGCGCGCTTCCACGCCTCGCTCTTTTGCTTTGCAGAGAGCTTTCTCGATCGACTGCGCAGTCGCACGCAGTGGACGTCGTCCGACACGGTTCTTGTGCTCCGCATTCTTGTCAACTTCTGCTGGGCCGTCGACTCGTACATGCTGCGGATGGTCGACTGCGGGCTCTTGCGAACGCTGCTGCCGGTGGCGCAGTGGGTGTGGGCGCCGTTCAACTCGGAGGCCCGCGCCAGCACCGTGCCCGAGGCTACCTGGGAAAAGGAAGTCGAGTTCGTCTTGAAGCTCCTCGCGCGAATCACATACGACCCGGCACTGCGCCTCACGTTCGTCGACGGCGCCGAAATTCCGGATATTTTGGCGTTGCTCAAGCCGCCGCTGCGCCATGGCAACGACTGGGACGACCTTGGTCTGCTTGAGAACGGCGCCGAAACCATCGCCAACCTTGCGATGGTCAAGGACATTCAGATCATCTTGATTGTCGAAGACGGCGTGACGTACATGGCGCAGCTGTTGCTGCTGCTGCCGGCCAAGCACACGCGGCTCACGCGGCGCCTCGTCCGCGCGATCCACAACCTCTCGTACGACTTGGAGGTCCAGGCGATCCTGGCGGCGCAGCAGACGTTTCCTTACTTTATCCAGCACATCGCGTCGCTCAGTGGTCTCCCGTTGCTGCCACCGCCCGATGCGACATCGCTGGACGTGAACGCGAGTCACCATGTGGCCGCCATGGCTGTGTGCATCGTCCACGACATCTCCAATACGGTCCAGTGGGTCGATGGTCTCGTAGAGATGGGCGCCCAGCGCGGCTTGGCAGCCTTGCTGCACCACAAGGCGCTGGGTGCGTGGTCGGATGCAGCGATCGATCTCGAGTCGCTCGTGCTCGAGACACTTGGCAACCTCTCGCACACGGCGTTCGTGGAAACGCTCGTCACCGATGGTGTCGCGTTGCACTTTGGACAGTTTGTCGTATCGTACTTGGGCGTCCTTGCGCTGACGCCACCCGGACCGCGCAAGCAGCTGCAGTTTGGCTGGGCGCTGCACGGTTTGAGTACGCTCTGTGTGCGCAGCGCGAGTGCCCGGCAGCAACTCGCGACGAACGCCAAGTGCATCTTGGACGTTGCGCACTGGCTCGTGGCCTTGCACGAGGCCCCTTTGCCCAATCAGATGGACGCGGTGGCGCTGCTATCGAGTCTGTGTCGCGTTGAGAGCAGCCGGAATGCGCTCGCCCCCAAGGTGCCCCCCAGCCTTTTGGACCGCACGGTGGACGTGGCGCTGCACGCGGACGCTACGGAGGCGGGCCAAGCGGCGGCGCTGGCGTTGCTTGCGCACCTCCTGGGTCCGGACGTGGACGTTGTCGATCAGAACGGATGGTCCTTTGCATTTGCAGACACCTTGTCGTCGTCGGTTTTGCTGCACGATGCCATTGGACGCCAGCGGTCTGAGGCCTGCTATACGAATGGTCTCCAGCTTCTCCATGGGTGTCTACGCCACACCAAGCTCCTCACGCACAAAGTGCCGACGACCATGTACCTTCTCGTTCTTGCCGCTCTGCATGCGAGTCCCACGCCGACGCTCGACTTTCGATACGCCCTCGGGATCCTCGAGATTGCTGTCGAGCATATTGAAAGCCGGCGCCAGCTCGTCGAGACTCAAGCCCTCGATGCGCTCTTGCTCGGCTTGGCGGACGCCCCCACGAGTCTCTCACTGCCCGCGCTCCAAGAAGTGCTTCGAAAGCTGCTCCTGGAGGCCATGGAGGTGTACGTCGAGCGCGACCCGGCCCTCGTGGCCATCGTGGCGTCGGTGCTCACAGCGATACCTAACCCGCTGCTCGTCGACACGGCCCTGGCGTTTCTCGGGCACTTGGCATTGGCTGGCGGTGTCCTTGCCGGCGCGGTCATTGCGTCGGTGCAGGCTGAGATGCGCTTGCTGCAGCTCCTCTCTCGTCATGTCGAGCAGGTGCACGCCACCACGTGTTCGCGGGCGAGTGTCAACGTCGCGCGCTTCATCTCGTACGAAGACATGCTGCGCGTCTACCTCTTTGCCATGACGTTCCGACGTCACGCGTCGGATCGTCCGCTCACGCCCGGATCGCTGTGGATGACCGACCGCAACATTGCGTCGTGTTTCATCATGGACCTTCTCTACTGGTTCTCGTCGCAGCAGCACACGGTGACGCGCCACTTTGGGTCCATGTACCCGGATCTCATTCTGGCCACGCCGCTGCTCGTGCAAATGGCCTACCCAAAAGAAGCGTCGCACGCGCCGCTGCCGGGCGTCCACTACTTTGATCATGTCCAAGAAGACATTCTGCATGAGCTGCTAGTCATCATCACGGCGTCGCCTTTTGGCGATACGATTGCGCAAGCGTGCATATATGCGCTCATCGAAATGCACGCGTGGTGGGGCGCTGAGTCGCTCCTCGTGGCGCTTCTCCAAGCCCTACCGGCGAAAACGGAGCTTTTGATGAAGCTCTCGGCCCTTCTCGAACCCGCGCCGACACCGACCCTTCGGTTCCTGATGCTCCTCGTGACCACCGACGCGCTTGTCGACGACTTGAAGGCCGTTGGCGTCAAGGAAAACCTCGAGTCGCTCGAGGTGCCGGACGAAGCCGACCAGTCGATGCGGTCGGCGCTGCTGAATTTACTCGGCTACTCGGTGGACCTCTCGCTGGCCTTTGTCGCCGACTTGCAGCGCTTTGCGGCGTGTCTTCGTGACCCGCTCGAACGCACGCAGCTCATGGCTGGCATGCAAACTACCCTGGCGATGCATGTGGTGACCGAGCCCGACGTCCTTGCGCAAGCACTCCCGCTCCTCGTGCGCGAGCTCACGCGTGACGTGGCATTTCTCAACGATGTCGTGCATTGCCTCGTCCACTTTGTCTCGTTCGAGTGCTTTCCCGATTACTGCGTTGACCCATCGACCGTCCTACGTGCTTATCTGGAGCGCTTTCATTCCTTCTCGCCCAAGAGCCACGACGCGCTCATGGACATTCTAGTGTCTTTGCACGACGCTGGCGTGCCCGCGGACGCATTTGGCTTCTTTGCGCTCGACTCCAAGGACGGGTTTGAGCCGCTTCCGAGTCTTCTGCGGCTTGCAGCCGACCTTCTTGGTGCGAATATCGCCGCCGCGTCCCGCATGCTGCACTTTGCCTGGCTCCAAGCCATGCATGAGACACACGTTGTTGTGCTCTTGGCGCAGCATGCGTCGCTTCTGACACCGTTCTGTGTGCTGCTACATCAGCTCCCGCCGGTGCCCAAGCCCGGGGCGAAGCGCGGCCCGCGTCACGCCGGGTGGACGCCCTCGCAGATCGCGCAGTTTGATGTCGTGCAAATGATTCAGAGTATGGCCGCCTTGACGTGGGCTCCGTCGTCCTTATGCGAAGCCACGAGCCTCTTCATGCGTCTTATTGACGTGCTGGGCACGTTTCCCGTCCAGACAGCGCCCAAAGTCCAGGCACTTCAAACCCAGTACCTCTCCGATATCTCGAAAATCGTGCACCGGCTCAGCATTTTCGTGGCCGACGACACGTTTGACTTGGACGACGGCTTCAAGCGGCTCGTGGGCTACCTCGACGTGTCGCCCAAGCCCGGCCCTGTCCAGCTCGCGCTTTATCAGCTGGTCGCAAACGTCTCCAAGCTGCCGTCCGTCGTGCTGTCGCTGCACCGGCTCCAGTGCCTCGAGACGCTCGTCCACCGCTTTCCGAAAGTTCATCTCGACTACCAACTGTATGTGCTCGCAGCCTTGGCCAACGCCGCGCAAACCGGCCTTGAGTCCGAGATTGTGAGTCGCTTGGCAATCGAAGCGAACGCTGTCCACGCTCTCTTGCGGGGGCTGCAGACGTACACGCGCGAACCGCAAGCGCATGCGGCGTTTCTACTGTCGGCGCTTTTGCTGCATTACCCGGACGTCGGCGGGTCCATTGAGTGCGTCACAACACTCATCGAATGCCTCGAGGCTGTCGACATGATTGTCGTACAGCACGTGCTCGTGGCGCTGAGTGCGATCCTGCACGTCGAGCCGACGCAGGAGACGCTCTTGCGACACGCCACCGTGCCGGTGTTGGCGCAGATTCTTCAGAAAAGCGACTACGTCTGCACCGAGCACGTGCTGCGCATTTTAGCAGTCCTGTGCTCGCAGCACGCGGCCATTTGTCGGCGGGTCGTCGCATCCAACCTCTTGGGCATCTTGCTCTCGACCGTGCGCAATGTGGCGGAAATTGAGAGTCGACCTCATGACGTCTTTCACGCGGCGTGGGTCCTCTCGTGCCTCACCAAGGACAAGGACTTGGCAGGCCGCATCGACGACTTTGATGGGACATTTTTTGCGTTTCTTCATGGGTCGCTCGCGCATTTTACGCTCAAAACACTCAGCAAACTGCTGCGCATGCTCAGCCATGTCTGGGGCTACGTCCTTCCGGTAACCCGCGAGCTCGTGAGTCCGTATGTGAAGGCCCTCTTGACGATTCTACCGCGCTGCGACGTACGTTGTCTAGGCTTGATATATGGATCAACTCATATGCATAGAACACGACGCTGGTCAAGAACGGCGTGCACGTGCTCTGCATACTGTTCTTGCATCCATCGCTCGAAGACGAGCCCGAGCTCATTGAAGCACTAGCCCAAAGCTTCTTCTCGTACTTGCACGATGCCAACAGCAAACTCGTGGTGTATTGCCTTCGTGCGCTCACGGCCGGCGTCGTTGCAGAGGCACTCCCCGAGCACCTCATTCGCGCCCACTTTGACGTCCAGGCCAACGTCCTTCACGTGCTGCATTTGCTCGTGCCCGAGGCGTACAATGGCGGTGAGCACAACCGTCTCCTCTGCGTGCTGCAGTTTCTCAATGCGATTTCGACGGATGAGAGTACGCTGCCGATGCTCACACCATTGGCGGTGCCGCCGCTCTGGCACGTCCTCGAGTCGTCGCCGCTCGAGTCGTTCAACGACTGCACAATCAAAGAGACGTTGTTGCTGCTGAGCACGTTGACGCGGGTGGCGTCGCCGGTGCTGAGCCTCACGCCACTCTTGGTCGCGGCGCTCAAGCAGCTCCTCTTGCTGCTCGACCAAGACGACGCGCCGAGTTGTGTCTACTACGCCGACGGTCTCCATGTTCTCATCAACTTGACGGCGGTCGCCGAGCTTGCGCAGTCGCTCGTGCTCCATGGCGCGCTCAACTTGCTGCTCGACATGTTCGTAGGCGGCGACGAGACGCATGTGCCACTGGTGTTGCTCGGGATTGCGTCGCTTTCGAGTGACGCGCTGGCCCAGCAAACGGTTGATTTCACGCCGATCTTGGCCAAGCTCATGCATTTGGTGGTCTCGTCGCCACCGACGGTGCAAGCCACGTGTGTGTGGGTCGTCTCCAACATTGCGAGCCTCGGTACGTTTGTTTCAGTTGGGCGTCCGAGTGGAGAGTGATGGGGTTGCTTGACTAGATGCGGTCCGGCGCCAACTCAATGCTCAAAATGGCGCGTCGGTGTTGCAGTCCCTTCTGAACGAAGTGACCAACCCCGCCCTCTCGGCGACAAATAGCCGGCCAGTGTCGTCGAGCAAGCGCATTCGCGACCACGCCCCGAAAGCGCTCAAAGACCTTGGGTTCACACCGCTCAACCCGCGCTAGCCCT